CAATAATAGAAGTTTAGGTAAAGTCATGTTTCTGTACATATATGTAGAAGGAACAATATGCTGTATCAGAACATGGAATGTACAGTCAGTGGAATAATCACATTCTGCCTCAAGTCATATGTTGGGTTGAGTATCACAGACACCCCCAGGGAACATGTGCTCACTGCAGCAATGCTGTGATGTAGAGAAGTGTGGGGGTCGTTCCACGCCACGGGGTCTGCATCACCACCCAACCAAGTATGGACCACGACTCCATACTTCCCATGAGCTCTAATGTCCTAGGGGTTAAAAACATAGATGCACACACACACATACAGAGTTCGAGTCATTCCCCAGAGGAGAATGCCCAATTTATTCAAACTTAACCCAGGGTTAAATACTTTTGCCCCAGAAGTGGAGATCCCCCTCCCAGCTAGTAGTGAGATCAAGGTGTTGAGCCGCTGGAGCCAGTGGCAAGAGCTACCGGGTTGGGAGTATGGAGCTGGGAACCCTGACAGACTGTTGTGGGAGTAACTTCCGCTGCCTCAACCAATAGTCGCTGAAATACGAGCCCACAGTGCAGTGGGGAGCGACTTCCGCTCCGTCAGCCAATAGCTGCTGAAATACCAGCCCACTGGGGCGTGGTATATTTCTCTTTTAAAAAGAGAAGCATATCCGGATCAGGCCCTCTTGGTTCTGGCTCTTGGTTCCGGTGCTTGCTCCTGGCTCCTGCTCCAGGCTCCTGCGACTAGGCTCCCTTCCTGACGGTTTATGGTGTATGTAAGTTTTATCCCCCAAAATAAATAACCCCTTAAAACATAACTGGTGTGGGATTGATTCGCCGATAACAGACAGATAGAAGGAGATTCAGGGCCCCTGTGAGAACCCTCCTTAGCAGGTGAAATTACCATATCAAGACCAAAACAAGGTTCTGAACTAATCCCCTCCAGCTGGCAGAATTGAGCACAGGGAGCTAAGCTGGTTAGCATAAACATTTCTTGCATGCTGTGCTTTGGCCTTGAGGAACAGGGAAGACGGCCTCACAGAGAAGCCGGTGACCATATCAGGGGTGACCATATCTGTAGTTAAGAAAGAACAAACTCATAGTTAAAGAACACATGCACCAGTCTGTGCAGCTTCAGTATAGAACTACAAATAGAAACGGCCAAGATGAAACATTGAACACAAGTACTACTGAGTGATGGGGGGCTTGAAAAATACATAAAATAGTATTATTTACTTGAAATAGAGTAACTAACTCTGTTAAAGTTTGGGCTACCTGAAACAGGTGGGTCCATACAAGTTACAGAATAGCTATAAAGAAGATGTGGGAAAAGATTGGGAAACAAGAGAATTACTAAATAAGACAACCATTTGAGAACATGCCAGCATGTAACAACATCTGCCCTCTGAATGCACGTGTGTTAATTATTTGTCTCTCTCAGGGTCATAGAAATTCTCTATTACAAGGATGTTTGACTTTCTTACTACTATTAATATTTTCCCTTCTTCTTAGATTTATTCATACTGGTTATTGTCCCCTTTAGTAAAACATCTATCATAATCATTGTAAATGATTATGTGTCTGTTTATGTCTTACTGACCAAGAATTGAAGAATTTGAAATATTGCCCCCACTCCCTAAAATCTCACCCTTCTCCATAAAGGAAAGATTTCCAGCGAGGATATAAGCATCCCTTTCTTATTGGGTTAAAAGAAAAAAAGAAAGAGAAAGAGAAACGTTAAACTACTCTGTGTGTGTGTGTGTGTGTGTGTGTGTGTGTGTGTGTGTGTGTGTGTTTGTGGTGTGTGTCCTTTCTGTACAAAGATTCAATGTTTAAACACACCAAAAAATTCTTCTAAGTTTCAATTTGGAGTATTGTAGATGCCTTTGGTCAACAACTTTGGGGTTTACTGTTTGTTTTGATTCAAGGGCACATTACTGAGCCCAAGGCTGGCATCTACCTTATTTTATAGACCAGACTTGAAACTCATGAACATCTCACGTTTGATTTCCTTGTGTTTATATTTAGACGTCAATTCTTAATTGGGTTTTCTAGATATGTATGCTGTATGTTCGAGCTTCTCATCAAAATGTCATTAACAATGAAAACCTCCATGCTCAATAATATTCTTCGAAGCAGCAGGATGTGATCTGCCCCACTGAAAAAGGTACTGAGCCACATGGCTAACAGAAAATGGGTTAATTAAGATGTGAGAGTTAGCCAGTGAGAGGCTAGAGCTAATGGGCCAATCAGCTTATAATTTACGGAGACATATGTGTGATTTTATTTGGTGCTTACCGTCTGTAGGGTACCAGGTGGGACAGCAACCCCAATAAGCCTTCAGCCCCTCATGTAACAATTCTCGTAAAATAAATCTATTCAGTATTCAAGCCCATTGTGATAATATTTACTCACTCAGCTTTGCATTGGATACTTTACAGTCACAACATTAATGACAGTCAACTTTTATGTGTCCCTTACAAATGGCCAAATCTTCTACATAGGTACAAACTCACAGGAGTTTCTACATATCGACAGGTCTACCCATGATCTGTTATTTATTGACAGCTGCTTGGAGCTTCATGTAGATGTATTGCCCTCCATTTACATATCTCAATTTACACACTAATAAATCTAGTATGTTACCCTGGACTTAGCCATGATATAAACACTATTGTCTCTGTCTCCTCAGTCTGAAAATATCCCACCCCTCTGGGTCCAATCTAGAGACACAAACATCACAGTAGTTTAATCAAATTCAATATGAAATTATCCATCTGTAACAAATAAAACTATATCAGAATCTCTACGTCTCTGGGGACTTTGGAAGACTCCTCAAAGAAGCAAAACCAGATGAGAATAATACTAACATGATGAATTGAGAAGTTACCGTACTGTACCAAACAGTAGGGCATGGACATTGTTCCCTTAATTTAATGGAAAATACAGTTACCATCTTAAATGCTTCTTCACCTAAGGGTGAAAATGCGAAATAAGACATGAAAAAGTCCTGTAGAGTGATGGACGTGTTTATGACTGTCTTTATAAGCGTGATTTCAGAGGTACAAGGTTGTATTCAAATTGACAAATTATATACATTAACTATGGGCAGCTTTGGTACATTAATTATACCTCTTAGAAACCACAAAATATCCTGTTCTTCAGTCAAGGGAAAGCAAGTTTATTACTGTAACCAAGGGTGTTATAAAGTAAGAATGAAAATATAAGAAGGTGAGGAGCCTAGGCCCACAGGCAAACCACTGAAGTAGAGACTGAGCAGGATACAGAAGGTATCTGACATCCAAAGGATCAGCATGTTCAATTGTTGTCCTTAGTTTCTCAGCAACCAGAGTCCTATTTACAGCGTTGTTTCTGGTGCCTTTGCATTGCAGTACACCTCTGACCTTCGCTTCTAGCAGTTTTATACTTTTATGATTTACATTGATGCCTTTGATCCAGTAGGAGCTGGTTGTTGTGCAGGGTGAGACTTATGGCTCTAGTTTCATTCTCCTTTAAGCAACTCTCTATCTTTTCTCAGACTGTTTGTTAAAGATACTGTCGTTTGGCCAGTGTATAATGTTGAATGAAGTCTTTGCCAAAATTCAAATGGCTGTAAGCACACGCTAGGACGTGGGCCTTCGGTTGCATCTCGTTGATCTCCGTGTCTGCTTTTGTACCAGTGCCATGCTTATGGTTTTTATTTTTAGTTTTCTGTTTAAGCATAACTTGAAATCAGATATGACAATACTTTATTGTTTTGATCCAGATAATTTTGGCTGTCTGAAGTCTTTATGATCTCATATGACATTTTTAGATATTTTCTATTTTTATTGAATCAAAAAGATACATTTATAAAAGAATGCAGCCAATAGAATGAAAAGGAAGCCTATAGAATGGGAGGAAAAAATCCTGGCAAACTATAGATCCAACAGAGGATTAATATCCAGAATGTGCAAAGAACTCAAAAACCAACATATCAAAAAAAATAAAAACATTCAATCCAAAAGAATAGGCTTTTGATCTGAACATAAAAGTTCATTTAAAAAAAGAAAGGCAAGTGCCAAATAGATATTTTTAAAGCATAAAAATTATTGATCATCAGGGAAAATCAGACTAAAATTACTTTCAGATTCATCTCACCTTAGTCTGAATGACTGACCATAATAATAATAATAAAAAACCTGCCAACAATAGCTGGAGTGGATTGGTGGATTGGGGAAAGAGGATACCTTGCTCACTGTTGGCAGGACTTTAAGATGGTAAAGTCTCTAGAGAGATTATTGTGGGTGTGGAGGTTCCTCAGACGTAAATTACAATATGACACAGCTATACCATTCCTGGGCGTATATCCAAAGGACTCTCCATCCCACTCATAATCACTTATTCAACCCTTCAGAATTGTGTGTTTATCTTAGGGTACCTAAAACAGTCTTAAAATTAGAAAATTATTATCAGTGCAATCAATGCCCAAAGGGAAGAAAAGTTGGAGTGGGAAACTATTGAGATATTTATGTAAAGATAGTATGGATCGTTTGGGAGCATGTGTGGACACTTTATCAACAAAATCACCTGCCAAGATTTATCTCCCATAAAATTTAAAGAACATTATATTTCAATTTTTTAATCTCAAAACTATATTAATCAATGATCACAATTACATACAGGAGTCTATATTTCTTAATGAACAAATTGTTTTATTCAGAAACTGCCAGTCTTTCACATTCACATATTCCAACCAGAAATTTCTTCTGTGCCTCAGAAGACAGTTGCAGTACAGGCTCAAGGAGACAGTTGTAAATGTTTACACTCCAGAACCCAGTAAAATAAAGTCCATCTTCCATGATGTGCAGAAAATATTCAGTCTGTAGCAGGAGTAAACATATATTATGAGATGTTTACAGATGTCAGCACACAGCTGTCCGTCAGTCTTTGGGCTCGCAATAAATAGACAGAGGTTCCGGTGGGACTTGCTCTTGCAGTACTTGTTCTCAGGGTGATGGAGGAATTTCGGTGGAGACTAGCAGCAAGAAGAGCGGCATTTTCTGTAGCTACAGCAGCCAGAGCCGTATCCACAGCCATACCTGGAACCATAGCCACAGCCATAGCCAGAGCCGTATCCACAGCCATACCTGGAACCATATCCACAGCCATAGCCTGAGCCGTATCCACAGCCGTAGCCTGAACCATAGCCTGAGCCATAGCCTGTGCCATAGCCACAGCCATATCTGGAGCTGTATCCACAGCCAGAACCTGAGCCATATCCACATCCATAGCCAGAGCCGTATCCACAGCCGTAGCCTGAGCCATAGCCAGAGCCAGAGCTGTAGCCACAGCCTCCACAGGAGTTTCCGTAGTAGTTGCAACACATGACGATGAGAGGTGAGGTTTTAGCTGAGAAGCAGAAGGATGTGTCTGAAGTGAGTGCCATCCAGTCTCCTCGGACCTTTATATACTTACAGGACTGGATGGCTCATGCCTCACATGGGCTCCTCTCTTTTTTACAGCCGTGTTCCTACAGTGAACTCATCCCCTGAACAGTCATGTTAGGAATTTACAATTTACTTCTCAGGAACTCCCACAAACATTCAAGGAAATAGATATGTTTTCTGAACACTCAAACTTATGCATCCTAATTTTTTCTCCATAAAGTCATTTTATAGGTATGACATAACAGAAGGCATCACCTGTGTCTGTGGGACCTGTAAAAATGTGTTTGTCACTGTGTCATTAAAGCCCTTGTTCTCACAAGCCATATACATAAATTCAGAGTATCACCAGCAGCAACCCAAGTTTCGCTGTGGCTCTTGCTCTCCTTTCCTGACTCATCCCTCCCATCAACAAACCTCTAAATCACCTCTCATGGATTCTGGACAATGAAGCTTACTTTAACTCACTACAACAAGTTTTCAAACTTCCTCCTGCCCTCTTAGGGAAGACTCATCTGTCTGTCCTGTAGGTGGGTTGTGCACTTCTTCCTATCTCTTTCACAACATTTTATAAATTCCTATGCATCAGTTTCTTAGTATATTTATTTCATACAATTTAAAGGTGAATAGATCCAAATGTTTCAATGTGGAGAGCTGAAAATGTTTTGGTTCAGTGAATTACTCATTTTTAGACAAATTGAATGAAAAAAAATTAAGCAGGTTAAATTTTATGAGATTAATCAGCCTATACTTAGATTTGGTCAGTATTTCCAAGCTTCCTTATCCACTGTGGTTAATAAATAAGAATTACTCTGGACGATTGGAGTGTATATCTAAGTGACAATACAACCAAATGTCACAGAAATATAACTAGAAGCAGAATGACTTAGTGTCTTGTTGACTGGAGGGGTGATTATGGCAACTAACCATGCCATGTGCTCCTAGGCGTCTATAAAAGGTGACTTTGGCCAAGGGGCAGAAGCATATTTTTGAAGTATGCATATGATCTAGTCTCTATAAATGGCCATAATTTACAGGAGATCTCTACTTTTAAGATATTCTTAATATGATCCTTTCTGTCATTGATTATATGGTGATGCATTTCTATCAAATTATTTCCCTTTCATTCTTAGCTGCCTTGAATATTCCTACATTGGCCATCAGTAAAGGATCTTTACCTTGCACATTTTTCACTTCTTTTCACACTGTAATTGTGCATTGCTCCCGGTTCAGCTGTCATATGCACACAATCCCACCTCAGCATAAAAATATTTGAATAATTCTAAGCCTAGTCAGTAGTCATAACCCACATATCAGACAGTCACAGACAATTCAACACAAAATGATTATCCCATGAAAGATGAGAATTTAAATGTACTATGAATGTGGTAGTCTAAGAAGTCTAACAAGCGCTTACAGGATGGAACTTTATGAGGCATCGTTCCCATTTAGCAAATGGACTGAAATCTGTGCTACATTCACAATGGTGTACGTGGCACTTCGAAATCTGCGAAGAGCACCTGTCCTGTTAAATATTCCTGTCATGATAAAAAAAAAGAGAGCAGAATAAGGAAATTTGACGAGGATTAATGTGTTTGATTATGGTGACAGATTTACATGTGGAAGCAAAACGTTCACACGTTTTGTATGAGTGATGTCTCAACAAGGCTCATGAGCAAATATGTACACAAACACACCTTGCTGTGTAGTCATTAGAAACATAGTGATGAGCAGCCGTGGGTTTGGGAAACAGGCATGGGATCTTAAAAGGCTTCAGAAGCGACAGCCTATGGTGAAGGGGGACAGGACAGATGATATGGTCATCTGGCTCCATGTGTGTGGCTAGGAGGGCTACCGAGGTAACAAAAGACATGGTGGTATAAACTCCTAACTAGTGCTGGGGAACTAGAGAGAGGAGGATCCCTGAGGTTCAGAAGCTTAACCTCAGGGCACATGAAAGGATCCCACCCCCCAGAAAGTGAATGGAATGTTACTAAAGGCTGTCTTCTCTCTTCATGCAGCAAACATATGTATACATGTTCTACACACACACACAGAGAGAGAGAGAGAGAGAGAGAGAGAGAGAGAGAGAGAGAGAGAGAGAGAGA